AAGGCTTCGTCCACAGCCGCCCTGAACGACTTTGGAGATGTTTCTGTTCTGGTCTAAGTTGGGCGCCGTTGCGTCTAAGTGTCGCGTCGCCCACCCAACCACTGACTCCTCCCATCTCCTTCCCCCAAGGGCGCAAATGGTGGGTGCTGGAAAGCAGTGGTTCCCGAGTTCACAGACCCGCACTGACCCGCGGAGAAGCTCGGCAGCCGAGAACGTGGGAGTAACCTCCAGCAGGTGCCCACCTGGATCGCCCGTAGAGGACGCAAAGATGTACGAGCGTCTTGAGACAGGTCTCGGAGCGCAGCCCTGGTCAGTCCCCTCATCGTGCTCACCCCCCTCCGCCCCCCCGGCCCCATTCCCACCGCTTCTTCGCGCCATTGCAGCCCTCTGGGACAGAGGCGGCGCGCTTCGAGAGGCAACCTCAGAGGCAGCAGGCTTGCTGCGAGCTTTCGCGTGGAGGAGAGCCGACATCCCAGACATGTTGTACCCAGAGCTCCCCAGAGGTCTTCAGAGGCACAACCTCGCCCGCAAACAGCGGTCCCCTCTTCCTCCCCCATCTCTCTCTCTCTCTTTCTCTTCCTCTGTCCCTCGAGAAGTTCAGCGGAGCGGCCTGTCTCATAACAGCGGCCTCCCAGCCTGAAGTCGGGCCTGTCCCTCTACAGGAGGAACATTCTGATATAGTCAAAGAATATTATGGGTATGTTTTGTTGGGTGTGAGAATAATATGGGTATGTTTTGTTGGGTGTGTTCGCTTATTGTTAGTATTATCATTATTATTATTATTTTCAGTATTATTGTTGTTATTGTTATTATTTTTTATTATTATTATTCGTATTATCAGTATCATCATTATTACGATCATTAGTATTATTATTCTTACTATATTTATTAATAATAATAAGAATACTAATACATAGTGTTATTATTTTATTTTATATATATATATATATATATATATATATATATAATATATATCGAACATTTTAGGATATTATTTGAGCACTGTTTATTTGTCCTGCAACATCTGCCTGGGGGGGCATGCCCGACCGAACCCTTGCCGTGCACCCGCGGGCGCTTGCTCTCGGCGGGTGGTCGGCCCTCGCCCACGGCAGGTTCGCGCCGCACCGACCAGCGGCGGCCCCGCGTGCGCTTCGGGTGGAGCGCCGCCCGTGGCCGGGGAAGTGGTCGGAGGAGGGGAGAGGAGGGAGGAGGGGGGAGGAGGAGGGGAGGAGGGGATGAGGAGGCGAGAGGAGCAGCAGGAAGGAGGAGGGGAGAGGAGGAGGAGGAGGAGGAGGAGGAGGGGAGGAGGAGCAGGAGGATGAGGGGGAGGGAGGAGGCGGAGGGGAAGGAGGAGGAGGAGGAGGAGGAGGAGGAGGAGGAGGGAGGAGGAGGAGGGGAGGAGGAGAGAGGAGGGTTTAGGGGGAGGAGTTTGGTCCGGACCTCCAGGGTCCACGCACCCAAAAATTGAGGCAGCTGGATGTCTGGGTCCCCAGACCCCCTCGAGTTATGAAAAAATCACGACGGGAGGTTCTTCCTGATTTTCGGCCTCGGGGGAGCTCTTGCCGGCCCTCGGGACCGTCAAATAACGACTCGGGACGAAGAACCGGTCCCGGGGAAAGGGTCCAGACCGCTGGGGGTCGACGTCGTGAAAAATTCATGACGTCGGGGGTCTGGGGTCCACACACCAAAAATTGAACCAGCTGGATGTCTGGGTCCGCGGCTCCTCCCACGGGTCGCCGCCTCCGCTTTCCCATGGGGAGCTGAGGCGGCACCCGCCGGCGCCAGCAGCGGCGGCCCCCGCAGGGGAGGAGTCGTCGACGACTCCTCCCTTGCGGACCCGATCGGCGCCCTCGCGCCGTGCGTCGGTGCCGCCGCCGCCGGCCGCGTCGCGGGCGCCAGAGGTCGGCCAGCCGGTCCAGGCGTCGGCCGGGCGCCCGGGGCAGCAGCCCAGCCCGCTGCCGCCGCAGCCCGCAGGCCCGGCGTTGCTCAGCCACGCGCAGAGGGGAGGGGGGGGAGGGGGGAGGGCTTCTTAGACGCACCCCTGCTTCTTAGAAGGCGCGGGCCTTATCTATAGACGTAAGGCCGGCGCCTTCTAAGAGGCAGTCTGCTTCTACGAAACCCCCCCCCCTCCCCCCACCCCCTTGTGCGCGCCGCCAAGTTGCCGTCAGTCGTGGCGGCGCTCTCGGCGAGGAGCTGGGCCAGCACGCCTCCCCCAGTTGGCGCTAGGTCGGGCATGTCCCCCTACAGGCAGCTTGTGGACGAAAAATAGAACATAGCCCAAGCATATTCAACACATGCACCAAGTGTGCAAACAAATATTCGACACATAGCCCAAAACGATCACCCAGAACAAATAACCAACAAATGCTCAAAAGTACCAAAACTAGTCAAACACATCGTCACCATGTTATATTATTTGTCAAAACTATGTTTCATCATCACTCCTCCTGTAGAGGGACGGGCCCGACTTCAGCGTTGCCGTCAGCCGCGGCGGCGCTCTCGGCGAGGAGCTGGGCCAGCACGCCTCCCCCAATCATAGCGCCGCCACCACAGGCGGTGGGCGCCAGCGCGCCTGCTGCTGCGGCGCCGCCGTCGGGCCCCCTCGCGGGGCCCAGCTCCCAGAGATCCGATGTCGTGATTTGCTCCATGCGAGCCGCCGGCAGCGCCGCTGGCCCCTGGCTGGTCCCAGACTGCCCGCAGGCCCTTGGCTGGGGCGGGCTCGGACACGACGGCTGCTGGGCGCCGCTTGCGACGGCGCGGGGCGCGTGCGAGCAGCCACAGAGATCCGACGTTGTGATCTTTTCAGTGCGGGGTCCCCGGAACTTTCGACGTCCCCATTCCCCATGGACCGGTTTTTCGTCCTGGGTCGTGTTTTGACGGTCCCGTTGTTTGGCGAGGGCTGCTATATAGAGGTCGAATATCGAGACAGAAACTCCATGTTGATGTTTTTCATGCGTTGGAGGTCTGGGTGGCCGCCAGGGGCGCCGCGCCGCCTCCCCCGGGTCCGTGCCAGCAGCCCGGGGCGGAGCCGGCAAGGGCCGCGCCGTCGTGCACGGCGCACGAGGCCCCCAAGCCCAGGCTGGCGGCAGCTGCGGGCCGCCATCCGTGCGCCGGGCTGCGCGCCTGGCCGCTGAGACCAGCCGACCTCCTCCTCCTCCTCCTCCTCCCCTCCCCTCCTCCTCCTCCTCCTCCTCCTCCTCCTCCTCCTCCTCCTCCTCCTCCTCCTCCTCCTCCTCCTCCTCTCTCCTCTCCCCCTCCTCCTCCTCCTCTCCTCCTCCTCCTCCTCCTCCTCCTCCTCCATCCTCCTCCCCCTCCTCCTTCCCCTCTCCTCCTCCTCCTACCTCCTCCTCCTCCTCTCCGCCTCCTCCTCTCTCCTCCTCCTCCTTCCTCCCTCCCCCTCCTCCTCCCCCTCCCCCCCCCGCCTCCTCCCTCTCCTCCTCCTCCTCCTCCTCCTCCTCCTCTCCTCCTCCTCCTCCTCCTTCCTCCGCCTTCCCCCTCCTCCGCCTCCTCCTCCTCCTCCTTCCTCCTCCTCCTCTCCTCCTCCTCCTCCTCCTCCTCCTCCTTCCTCCCTCCCCTCCTCCTCCCCCTCCCCCCCCCTCCTCCTCCCTCTCCTCCTCCTCCTCCTCCTCCCTCCCCATCCTCCTCCCCTCCCCCCCTCCTCCTCCCCCTCCTCCTCCTTCCTCTCCTCCTCCTCCTCCTCCTCTCCTCCTCCTCTGCTTCTCCTCCTCCTCCTCCTCCTACTCCTCCTCCTCCTCCTGCTCCTCCTCCTCCTCCTCCTCCTCCTCCTCCTCCTACCCCTCCTCGTCCTCCCACTCCTCCCCCTCCTCCTCAAGGGCTGGACCTAACAGTTTGTTTGGCGATTTCGTGGGCCGTTTTCGCTTCGACTTCGTGTTGCGGTAAAGGCGGATTCGAGACAAAAGTGAGGGATGACGAAAACAAAACGAAAACGAAAAACACCGTTTAGGTTCAGCCCTGTCCTCCTCCTCCCCATCCTCCCTCAAAGTTGGACAAATGGGTTGGTTGGCGGATTCAGCAGGGGATGCGGGAGGAGGCTTCAGGAAGCGGCAGCAGGAGTCGAAGAAGAAAAAACGGCATAAACATAAACTGTTGGCACTCCACGCAGATTTCTTGAGTCCGCGCTGGGCCCCTCCAGCGGCGCCTCTGGCGCCGCCCCCGGCGCGCTCCGCGCGCCAGGCAGGGGGGTCCGGCGCAGATCCAAGACATCCGCGCGGAGCGTCGAAAGTTTATGTTCATATGTCGTTTTTTCTTCCTCCAGTGGAGGATCGACCCAGACATGCGACGTCCTGATCTTTTCAAGACGGTGTCCCGGGAAGTCCCGAGCCTTTCCTTGGGACCGGTTTTTCGTCTTGAGTCGTTATTTGACGGTCCCGAGGCCCGGCGAGGGCCCCCAAGGGCCGAGAATAGCGGAACATTTGCCGTCTTGATTTTGTTTACGACGCGATCATGTTTGGGGACGAAGCAGGAGGAGGAGGGAGGAGGAGCAACGAGGGAGGATGGCCTCCCCCTCCTGCTGCTCCTCAGACCCCAGAGATCCGATGTCGCGACTTTCTCAATACGGGGTCCCCGCAAGTCTCGACCCATTCCCCGGGACCGGCTTTCCATCCTGAGTCGTTTTGTTGACGGTCCCGGGGCCCGTCGAGGGCCGCCAGAGGCCGAGAATCGAGGAGGTCATTAATCCAAGCGCCTGAATCCATCGTTGTGTTTCCTCGAGTTGGGCCCCCCCCGACGTTGTACATGCCCCCATATCCGTCTTCTCGTCGCCCGTTGTCGTCGTCATAATACTCATGCTCGTCGTCGTCGACTTTGCTTTCGTCCTCCTCCTCGTCCTCCTCCTCCTCCGTCGGGATTTTTGTCAACACGTTGGAGGCTTGGGACCCCCGCTGCCAGCCCGCAGGGCGGGGGGGGGCCAGCGGATTGTGCGCTACGCGGGCGCGGCCCGGTGGACGTTCCCGAAGGCCGACCGCGTCCACGGGCAGGCC